TAACACACGGTGGTTACTGGAATACACCACAAGGTAGTTGCAACACACGGTGGTTACGAAACACACCACAAGGTGTTTGAACCTACGGTGATCACTGTAACACACCGGAAGGTCGTTGAACACACGGTGATTATAGTAGCGCACCACAAGGTGGTTGAACACACGGTGATCACTGTAACACACCAGAAGGTCGTTGAACACACGGTGATTAGAGTAACGCACCACAAGGTGGTTGAACACACGGTGATCACTGTAACACACCAGAAGGTCGTTGAACACACGGTGATTATAGTAACGGTGATCACTGTAACACAAGGGTGGTTGAACACACGGTGATCACTGTAACACACCGGAAGGTCGTTGAACTCACGGTGATTATAGTAACGCACCACAAGGTGGTTGAACACACGGTGATCACTGTAACACACCGGAAGGTCGTTGAACACACGGTGATTATAGTAGTGCACCACAAGGTGGTTGAACACACGGTGATCACTGTAACACACCAGAAGGTCGTTGAACTCACGGTGATTATAGAAACGCACCACAAGGTGGTTGAACACACGGTGATCACTGTAACACACCGGAAGGTCGTTGAACACACGGTGATTATAGTAGCGCACCACAAGGTGGTTGAACACACGGTGATCACTGTAACACACCAGAAGGTCGTTGAACTCACGGTGATTATAGTAACGCACCACAAGGTGGTTGAACACACGGTGATCACTGTAACATACCAGAAGGTGGTTGAACACACGGTGATTACTGTAACGAACCGCAAGGTGATTAAGGTGGACACTGCAACACACGGTGGTTATTGTTACATCTGTACCACATATTCATGTGTATTCTACTCAAACATTTAGCGTGTTCTGATAACCTCTACCGATTAAATAAAAGGACGTGTCCGTCTGTCTGTCTAACTGTCTATGAGTGTGTCTGTTCCAGCCATAGCTCTAAAACGGAAGTTGTTAGAGACCTAAAATTTTACACTCGTATCTCATGCGTTCCAAGATTGTGCAACCTTGTCTATGAGTGTGTGTGTGTGTGTGTGTGTGTGTGTGTGTGTGTGTGTGTGTGTGTGTGTGTGTGTGTGTGTGTGTGTGTGTGTGTGTGTGTGTGTGTGTGTGTGTGTGTGTGTGTGTGTTGTGGTGTGTGTTTTTGTGTGTGTGTGTGTGTGTGTGTGTGTGTGTGTGTGTGTGTATGTGTGTGTGTGTGTGTGTGTGTGTGTGTGTGTGTTTGTGTGCGTAAATAATAATAATAATAATAATAATAATAATAATAATAATAATAATAATGTTAATAATAATAATAATAATTACCGGTTTATTGAAAGAGCATGGCAGCCGGAAGGCTGAAAATATGCAATCGCGTAATTGGGGATTGGGTTTCTTGATTTACAAATAATATACAAGTAACATGATTGATAAAAATATGATAAATAATAACTCGGTGGGGAGAAGGTCATACTAAAGGGCATTTCAACACAGTGACAGTGCAAAAAGGCAAGATTGACTGGGAGTGAATACACTGGTTGATTACAAGTTATTGATAATTTTCACAATGGTTGGGACTGGGTTGTTCTTATAGCGAGCAGTACGTGTTTGCATGGGCTGGATGCGGTTGTGTGTGTGTGTGTGTGTGTGTGTGTGTGTGTGTGTGTGTGTGTGCCTAGAACTGTTCTAGGCAACACCTCTTATGTAGCTCCTCTGTTTCTAGGTAGTTTTTCAGTTGCAATAACTCGTCCTGATCTGGTTACGAGAGCTATTCACGTTCAAGTGAAAATTCTTATTTTCTTAACGTCAGTTTCCTGAGTACTCATATTAGTACATTTAATGAACCAATGTGGATAATTCTATCAATTTATGTTGGGATATGCTCGCTAATAGGGAAATAATTATAAAATACACGAAAGTGTAAGATTTCATCGCATCAGTTTGAGAATCACATAAATATTACCCCCAACTGGAGTTAGGTTAGGTTAGCGTTAAGGTGGCTATTGTTCAGGGGAAATAAGTTAGGGCTAATATTCAGGTGATATCAGTGTGACGAAATGTCACAAAATCTTAACCTAACCAAACCACCATGGTTCACCTAGATATTCACTATTACCCTGCTAGATATTCGCCATGGCCCACCTAGATATTCACTATGACCCACCTAATATTCGCCATGGCCCACCTCTTCCCTTAAAAATCTCGCTTTCTTTCAGCCATCCCCATTTAACCCCTCCTCCCATTAAGCTCCCACCTCCCCCTTGTCGGGACTTCCCCAGAAGACTTTTCTTAAAACCTTGGTTTTTTTCATCGGACTCGAGAACAATAACGAATCGTCCACCACCTCATTATTATTATTGTACACCGCCTACCACCTCCTCCTCACCCTCAAGCGGACCCCAAGTGCAGCAAGAAATGAGGGGCTGTGTACACTGTCTACACTGTGTTTGTAAGAGAGAGACTAAATTCCTCATATTTTAATGCTAGCAAAATTCCCACGCTTTACACGGTTTACATTAGGTATACTGTATAAGTAAACTGTATAACCTTGACTGTCACAGTTTGCCCTTCCTGACACAGGTAACCATCCCCCGCAATCTCCGTGGCGCTATATCAGTTTGGGAAGATTTTTTGTTCTTGCCAGGACCACCCTGGAGTTCGTGGTCAATAGTAATACCAAGGTGCACGACCTTGGGATCCATGTAATATGTGTGTGTAGAGTTTCAGGTCTGTAGCTGCTTCCTTTTTAAAGCTATAGCTGGAGTACACACACACACACACACACACACACACACTCATAGACAAGGTTGCACAATCTTGGAACGCATGAGATACGAGTGTAAAATTTTAGGTCTCTAACAACTTCCGTTTTAGAGCTATGGCTGGAACAGACACACTCATAGACAGTTAGACAGACAGACGGACACGTCCTTTTATTTAATAGGTAGAGGTTATCAGAAGACGCTAAATTTTTGAGTAGAATACACATGAATATGTGGTACAGATGTAACAATAACCACCGTGTGTTGCAGTGTCCACCTTAATCACCTTGCGGTTCGTTACAGTAATCGCCGTGTTTTCAACCACCTTGTGGTGTGGTGTTACAATGACTACCGTACAGTATGTTACAACCACTTAGCAGTGCGTTACAGTGACCACCGTGTGTTACAACCAACTTATGGTGTATTACAGTAACCAACGTGTGTTACAACCACCTTATGGTGTATTACAGTAACCACCGTGTTACAACCACTTTGTAGCGAGTTACAGTGACCACCTTATGGTGAGTTACACCCACTTTGTGCTCGCACGCATGTACACAAAATCAATGTCAACAGGAAATGACAGACTTGACTGAAAGTTGCCCAGATGAACCAAATTTTTTCTAACTGTAACTTGTTGAGATCAACCATGTTTATAGTAATAGTAGTAATAAAACCAATCTAACAGTGACTTAACTAACAATAACATTATCTAACACTAACCTTAACTAACCTGACAGTGACCTAACTAACAATAACATCATCTAGCACTAACCTAACTAACAATGAACCTACCTTAAATTAACATCATCTCACACTAACCTTATCAAATCTAGCGTCATCTAATTCAAATTACACGCAACGTAATACTGACGTAACTTCATCCAACACTAACTTAACCTAACTTAGCATTAACTTGACCTCATCTAGTGTAACAATATTCTGACTTGACCTAATTCTAAAATAACCTTTTCATACATTAAGTTCACCTAACTTTACCCAGTAATAACCTAACCTCATATAACCTTACTTAAATTAGATCTAACGTCATAATAGTATAACACTAACTAATTAACCTCACACTCACAGAGACTAAACCTGGCCTAATCTCAAGTAACATAACCTAACATCACACTAATTAACCTAGCCTAATTATGCACTAACTTAATTTAACCTAAATAAACCTAACTTTTTAAAACTTAATTTAATCTTAAATAATAACATATCACTGTGTATAATTAAAATCCACAAGCTTTGTCTTAGTTATGTTAGTTTAGTTTAAGTTAACTTGGAGTGGATTAAGTTATTTTAGATAATTTTTGGTTAGGTTAGTACGAGATTAGGTTGTAGTTATTTGGCCTATGCTTGATTGGTGTTGGTATATGTTCGGTCAGTGTTAAATTAGGTTATGTCTGTTTGAAGTTATGTTACCGGTTGGTTAGGTTAGTTTGAGGTTAGGTTTCTTTTAGATTATGTTTTGTTTATTTAGACTATGTTTGGTTAAGTTAGATTAATTTAGATGGTATTAGGTTATGTAAGAATAGTATTAGTGTTAGGCTAGTCTTAGGTTAGATTATGTCGACTAGAATTATGTTGGGTTAGGTTAGATTGATTTACAATGGATTTGAGTTAGTGTTAGTTTAGATTAGGTTCTGTCGATTTGGTCTATATTAGACTAGGTTATGTTAGATTATATTGGATTAGGCTCCGCCTAGTTATTGTTAGTGTACGGGTAATTTAGTGTTAGATGGGGTTAGTTTAGTGTCAGGCAAAATGAGGTCACGTTCAGGTCAGTTGCGCTTGTTTGTATTCCTGTGATATTATTCCGTCAACCACCTACCCAGCAACCACCCACCACCCAACTCCACTCACTTCATTCCAGCGCTCCTACTTATCCCTCCTTACATCCCCACCTCCCGCAACACTGCCATTTATAAGCCTGTCGATCAAAGCGACCCGCTGTGTAAGACGCTGTCAGGTTCAGAAGTTCAGTCAACAGCCAGCATAGTCCACCGTCATACACACGTCGTTCTGCACCTTACAGTTGTACTGCTGAAGAACTCAAGATGAAGCTGTTGATGTTCACTGTAGTGTTATGTGTGGTGAGTAGTGTGAGGTGTGTATGTGTGTGTGTGTGTGCTATAGATTGTGTTGGTTGGTTTAGTAGTGTGTGGTATGTATATAACTATATAAGGTAATGTGCTTGTTATAAACGCTTCCCCCTTTCATCTGTTCACAGTCAGTGATGGTGGCAGTGTCACGTTCGGGACAGTCTGATCGAAATGGATCGTAAGTAATAGTTACATCTGCTCGAGTCAATCCTTCATTTATAAGTTCAGCTTGTTAATACTTGTAGGTAAACTACTCAACATGTACTTCTTTAAATATTATTAATAATAATAATAATAATAATAATAATATTATTATTATTATTATTATTATTATTATTATTATTATTATTATTATTATTATTATTATTATTATTATTATTATTATTATTATTATTATTATTATTATTATTATTATTATTATTATTATTATAGCTTAAAGCTCCTATATTGCTTTATATAATCAAGGGTCACAGGTCTTGTTAAAATTTATTGTCATTCAAAAATATCCCAGACCACTTAGAGATGTGAAGATTCATATATTGATCTTAAGTCAATAATTTGTTTTAAGAATCATACTTAAGCTCCTGGAGGATTAAGAATAGTTCCTACTGGTAGTGGGGCAGACGTGTGTCCTCCTGTTGGTGACAATGGGTACTCTTGCAACCAGACCTGTGAGTCTCACTCACAGTGTGATGACGAATTGTACTGCTGTGAGGTCGACTGTGGCAAAACCTGCCTGACCAGATTTCAGGCAAAACAATCGTGAGTTCCTAAAGCATAATTCATAGTTTTGTTATAAAATGTTTCTGTTACTATCAACACTCTACTTAAGAGATGTGACTTGTTAGTAACATCTGTCAGGTGTAGAGCCAAATATTCAGTAGAACAGATAGAAGAGGAAGTGGCGTAAAGTTTGTCATGTCTAGTTACGATGTGTGTCAGTTACTGTGTTAATAAGTGTACAAACAGACAGCAGTCCAAGTTTCTACCTTAGAAGTGAAACTTAGTGTACAACTCCTATGGTTGTATGATGTAGCTCAAGGTTAATGAATACTTTACCTGGTTAGGGTGATATTTTGTATGCATTAGTTTAGTGGTATTACATCACAATCATAATACTTCACTACCCAATACTACAGGCATAATGTCAGTGTAGTGATGATACACCTTACTTATATTACTTCACTATACAATACTACAATCATAATGTTAGTGTAGTGATGATACACCTTACTTATATTACTTCACTATACAATACTACAATCATTATGTTAGTGTAGTGATGATACACCTTACTTATATTACTTCACTATACAATACTACAATCATTATGTTAGTGTAGTGATGATACACCACACTTATAATATTTCACCCACAATATTTAAGTCATCAACTTAATGACTGACTAAGAAGAACATTTTCACTCATCCGCACTGACGTAGATTATAGCCAGTTCATGGTCACTCATAATGTTCATATCATGATTTCTTCCTCGATGGAGTTTTGTGAAACTTCCCAAACACATTAAAAATAAATCTGCAAAATTTAATGATAATTAAATGTCTCTGTGTGATTTATTATTAAACTAAGCAACTATTTCTTACAGCTAAGCTAACATGTTTGTTTTTACCTTCGTAAATAACGTAATAGACGCCATTCTTAGTCTTTACAAACACGATAATCCTTCCACAGGAAAGACTGTCCTCCACCTGACCCGGATTTAGCGTGTGTCCAATTTCTTCATCGCTGCAACAACGACAAGGACTGCAGAGGGGACAATGGTAATGGCGAAGGAAAGAATGGCGAAAGGGAGAATGGCGAAGGGGAGAATGGAAATGGGGAAAGCAGTAAAGGGGAAAATGGGGAAGGGGAAAATGGCGAAGGAGAGAATGGCGAGCGTCGCTGCTGTTTACACCCCAACTGCGGCAGAAGTTGTGTCAAGGTATAACAAACTACAACAAACTGATGAGTAATAGTAGTGATACACATCCTTGTGGTACCATCACATTTTACGGACAAATACACCGTTTAGATGAGTATTAAATCTGACCTTCACCAAGACTGAAAACTCCAGGCTGATAACATCTGTGTTCGTCCCCTGTGATGTGCTTGGCGCTTCCTTGAAATATTTTCTAACTTAGATCTGTGTACACAACAAAAAGTAAAGAAAAAAAATGATAGCATGGACTTTGGTACTCTCTCACTGAATTTTTATACAAGATAAAATGCCAGGTAAAAGAAAACCAAGAACACACCTTCTGTATGTTAGGGGAGGAGACAATGTTCTGGTGATTTTCCTTGTGGTATTAACTCGCCTACTGTTATGTGTAACTTAAGGTTTATCCGATTGAGGGGCAATGATTTAAGATATAACCCTTTAAGGATGATGGTTTAAATCAAGGAGGTTGAATGGATGGAGGCGGCACCCGCTGCCTCAGGTGAAGTCACGGAGTGACCTGATGCCTTTGCCAATATGGCAGCGCTTTTCTCTCAGTGACTTCATCCTCCTTGTTTGATCCCTCTATAATGTGCATAATAAATAAAACAATAGTATGAATCCTGCATAGTTATTTGCAATCAACGTTTCTTCGTAAGTAGCTGCAGCAACTGTGACCTTGTTGCCCTGACCAAGATGGCAGCCTGGTTTCACGTGCCTCTGTTACATACACAGCGAACACCGCCTCCATCCATTCAACCTCCATGGTTTAAATTATAACGCTTTGAGGATGAAGGCTTAAGCAATAACCCTTTATGGATGATGTTTTAGCCCATAACTCTTTTAAAATGGTGGTTGAAACTATAACCCTTTAAAGATGGTGGTTTAAAGTGTAACCCGTTTAAGATGGTGGTTTAAAATATAACCCTTGAAGGTAAAAGAACTGAAGGTAAACAACATGTCTGTCACTAGTGTAAATATATTCTATTTCATCGTTGTGCTCAATACATATATTTACTATTAATCTATATTATATTAATTGTTTATATATTTCAATATTAATACTTTTGTTCACTCATTTATTAATTTTAATCAGTTATTATTCCTATTAATATTTTGGTCTTCAATTTTTTGTTTCCTTGAGTTTCATCAACCATATTAATCATTATCCAGGTTTTATTTTAATTTTCTCTAAAAAATTATTATCAACCAAATAAAATCTTATACCTACAGAGATGGCTGCCACAATCCACTGAGGGGACGAGTGATAAGTGGAGGAGGAAGTAGTGATAAAAGGGGGAGGGTGTAGTGAGGAGGGGAGGAGAATGCAGGGAAGGAGGGAGGAAGACAGAGGAGAAGACGAGAGGAAAGAAGAATAGTGAGGAGGGGAAGAGAGAAAAGGAGAGAGGACCTGGAGGAGGGAGGAGTAAGGAGTACAGGTGGGGGGGGAGATGTGTTTTATACTGACAGCTCTACAACTTGCGGCTGCTGTGTAATAATACTACTCAACACATCTGGGTAACATAACGTAGTGTGATGGCTGCACAGTCGTCCATGTACAGTATTTCAACTTCAGTGTTTATATAAGTATCCTTATTCCTGGTGTTAACAGTACCATCTTATGCGTTGTTTTGACTTTAGATGTGGTTTAACACTGTCTTGTATCTAAAGTCAAATAATTGTTGTGTAAATTAGTATTGGATTAACTTATGGTTTTTAATAAAGTTACATAACTGACTTTTGTCTCTGATACTTCCTCTTTCCACTTTTACAGTTTTTCCTTTTATGCAATACTGGGGAATCCGTGCTCTGGCGCTCTTCACTTCGTACTGAAATGGACGCCTCAGGGCTCCACATTATCTCACTGTAGTGCATTAAGGTGTCTGCTTTGATCCTGACTTTGTACTCGTCAGAAGGCATGTTTTCCAGGGCATTTTTAAATGACTATACATACGTGTTGCGCTCATGCAACATTTCTTGGATTGATAGGACAATGTCATGTCTAACATCTTGAATGTTGCACCTGATAGTAGTCTGCTTTTCATGATCTCCCATGAAGTAGATTTCGAGGAACTTTGCCTGCTCATCTTCCAGTGGTAAGAGGGATCCTGCTTTGTGATAGAATTGACCCTGGAGTTTGAATGTGGGGATATATCCGTGCTCACGAACTACTCTGGTAGCTCCAAAGGATGTCATCTGGAAGCATGAATTGTTCTTCCGTATTTTCCAAGAAGTGTTTTGACTCTGGTGTTGTTCCCAGCATGAGAGTCTTCAATGGTTGTGGTGGTTTTATTTGGCAGTCGTTCTTTCCCGAGAGCAGCACAGTCCAGCAGATTCTCCTGTGTATGCACCGCAGTATTCACATTTCTTATCCATGTTGCCAATGACAACAGAGATACTTTTCATATTCTATACATCATCCATCATCACCCCTATATAAACACATCACTACATATAACATCATCCATCATCAGTACATATAACACCATCCATTATCACTACATATAACACCATCCATCATACTCACATATAGCAATCACTACCTATACAACATCCATCATCACTACATATAACATCATCCATCATCACTACATATAACACCATCCATCATCACTACATATAACACCATCCATCATCACTACAGATCGGTAAAGTAGTTTCCGAGATTCTCGTCGGAACACACACACACACACACACACAAACACACAAACACACACGGTAGGACGCCACCCTCCGGGAGCTCCACTTGTCTCA